GTTGGACATAGTTACATGACTAAAATACTGGCTAATGAAATGTAAGGAGAAGTATTGTGGACAGTTTTCTGGAAACGTCCTTGAAAGATAACCGTCTTATTGCCCTTCGACCCCTTCCCTAAGCTTTCTCTATTCTGTGGCCTACCATGAAAACTGTGATAGCTGGAACTCTAGCAGCCCTCTTAGAACAAAATGAGGAGACTCATGTGTTAGGGATAGCACTAACCTGGAAGGAACCTGGTTCCTAGCAACTTCATGGAATTCCAAAGCAAGGTGAACAGCCTACCTTAGACTTCATATATAGGAGAGGAATAAACTCTGTCCTACATAAGCAATATTCTTCCTGTTTTCAGTCATATACATACATACTTAGTCCCAATCTCATTACCAAATTCATCAATTTTTCTATGTTAGGATTTATATTTTATTTCTTTTTTCTTATCATAATGGAAGAGTCCCACCCCTTGTTAAGTTCAGCCACTTACTAAGATGTTAGCTTTTGCATTATTTCTTTTTACTAATTATCAATTTCTCACTCCTTAATCATTCCCAGGTCTATGCATGACTAGCTAATTTTTTTTTCACTCAAATCTGAGTACAATTGTCATCTCTTTTGAGAGACTATGCTTATTCATTTATTCCCTCTATTTTTTTGAAGTTTTTTTAAAGTCCCAGGCATCATGTCACCTTACCTATAAATACTTCTGATAAGGAATTTAACAATTTCCACAATGCATTAATGTTATCTCATTCCCTGTTCATGCTTATTTCCCCCTGTATACCTTAAAATTGTCTTTCTATGTGGTTTGCTTGAATGAGGATGTAAACAAGGTTCACACATTGTAGTCATATCTCATTCGCTCTTTACCACTTCCCTCATAAATGTCATAAATATCATAATAATGACATTTATTGGTTGAAGAAACCAGGTCATTTATGATGGAGGCTTTTTCCAGAGCCTGGATTTGATGGATTGCAATCCAGTGGTGTCATTTTTACCTGTTCCTCTGTCCCTAGTAGTTCTCGTAAAATGGTAGTTTCATGTAGAAGCATGACCAGATTCAGGTAACATCTTTTTGGCAGAAATATTTCACAGGTGGTGCTGTGTACTTCCTTTTTTAGCATATCAGAGGCAAGTTCCTCTTTCTCTTTTAGTGACATTAAGATTGATCAGTGATTCCAATTATTTCCAGCTCAACTTATCATTTACACCTATTGGTAAGAGCAAACATTGATGTTTACCTTAATACATTAGGGATTGAGAAGGGGTAACTATAACTCCATTATTCCTTTTGCATTGATTAGCTTTTGTGAAGAACTTTCCCTTAGCAACTCTATATTGAATGAGAAAAATAGATTTTCAGGAAAAGCAGGATAAATGCTTAATTTTTCAGTTATCAACTTAAATATTAATTTATCAATTAGGGTTTTTTTGGGGAAGGGGAAATATTACTAAGGACTTGTGGACTTTTATAGATTTGAAGTGTTTCAATACTTTGTAGACATTGTTCTTTGGCCAGTAGGCTCTTAAACAGCACTTTGTAATTTGCAAGATATTTAACATATATGAGTCATTTAAACCTCAGAAACAACCCAGTTTTACAAATCTATGTCATATGACTTGAACTAGGACTTGGTGTCTATTGTTTTTCCCACTAAATATAATAATGGCTGAAAGAATTAGGGCGTTAAAGGTAACTGGACATTTTTCCCTTTTTTCTGGTTTTGAGATTAAACAGCAGATGTCTTTAACCAGTGGGAATATGACATTAAGCAATATATACTTTAGAAGGCATTACTTGTAGCAAACACTGTGGAGAATAATGTTCTACTGATAATACTGTAACTTGGTAAATAGCTTGTCTCAACTTTGTTTGTGAAGCATTTCAATTTTGATTACTCTGTGTGGGATCTACTGCTCAGATGTATGTCATTTTATGGTCTGCCCATGTCTGGGGAGTTGGTATTACATGCTGCCTAGTGTTTTTAATTCAGAACTTCTTCTAAAAGAAACCTTAGTCTCTTATATTCAAACCCTAGTTTTAATAGCATAAGCTATTTCCCTCATATAGCTTTGTGGGCATAGTAATAAAATAAATACCACAAAATCACTGATGAGATGAAAATTGAGCTCCCTGCTTTTGTGCAGCCATGTAGGTAAAACAGTAATTGGCTCTGATAATAACTTTTGTTCTTACAAACCGAAGTCTAAATGAGAGTCACATTTGATATATCTGCTTGTAATTACTATCAAAAGGAGAGGATACAAAGTTTAGATTGTTTAGTGACTCAAAATAGATTAAATAAATTGCTGTCTTTTCTTGAACAATTTAAGAAAATTTTCTGAAATTATTTCTGATATTTATCTTACTGCTGGTAAAAAATGATCATCTTCCAGAGCATGCTTTTCTGCTTAATGGAATGATTAATTTTTGTTTTTTATAAACCTATAATTGTTTTTCTTGAGAACTCTTATTACGGAATCTGCTAATACAGCTTGTGCAGATATGGATTTTTCTCATACATCTCTGTAGATAGTTTGTGAGACAAATTTAGGGTTTGAATGTATCTGGTCATAATTTTTAGTGAAACCATTTAATATGTTGATATTATTTAAAGGTAGATCCCTTGATATGTTTTTATATGGGATATTAAATCATGTGTGTTACATATTGCTATTTTGGTATATATATATATGCTTTGGTGCCAAAATAGTAAATATTAGAATAATGATCATTAAAAAGGACTTTTCCCATTGCTTTAGAAGTCAACTGATCAAGAGTTGTTATTACAACCTATCATTTTCTGTTATGTTTTTATTTATGCTTTGATTTATTTCCAGAAATATTTATGTGCAGTGCCACAGAAATGTAAAAATGGGCAGAAAATAACTGTTTTTTAATGCCAGTTTTAACAATGATTCTGTATTTGCTCATTTCTTCCACCCCCTTGCACCATTCTTATAGCTACACCAAGTTGATGAAGCATAATAAAACTAAGAAAACTGCTATGGTCCACTGAGCCAATGATCCCAGAATTAAAAAGTTCTCACAAAGCTTAGACATGATAGATGAAGCTATTACCATCAATTGTATCCAGAATACACATTTTAAAACACCCTAATTACAGAAACCACATCCAGTCAATATAATACATATTAGCAATTTCCCTATCCTTGGTAGAGTGGAAATTATTCTGAAAGTTTAATTAAAGAAGGAAAAAATTATGTTCAGGTATTAATTTCAATAACAGAGGCATTCAGCTTCCATGCAAAAACACGGAGTAGTGCTGTGAGTGTGGGTTATCCACAGAAAGGAAGCCATTTATAATTAGACACTCATTACTTTTGTCACCACAGTACCGTAAGGAAAAGAGAACAAATCTGCCTTATTTGCAACCTGTGTCCTTCCATGGGTTAAATAAAACGGACAGCTGTGTGCAGTTATTTGGAGATTTGTTTTAAAAACTGCTATTAAAAAACATTAAAGAATGGTTTGGAACTTGAAAGAAGTAACATAACTAGACAACATGAATTCCATAGATATTTTTGTAACCTTCCCCTTCACTTTGACCTTAGGCACAGACCCATTTTTGAATGTTTACAAGCAAAGAAATAACAGGATCATGAATTCATCTGCCTGGCTCTTACAACCATTTTAACAAATGCATCAGATCACGCTCAGAACTAAAGACACTTAATTGAAAGGAAATCAGTTGTTTAAGTTGCTTACAACACTCCCTTTTTAAAAAGACACAAAGGTGACATATTGAATGATTCCATTTATATGAAATGTCAAGAATGGCCCTATCCAAGAGACAGAAAATATCAATAGATGAGTAATCGCCAGGAATTTGGAGGAGGGAATGGGGAGTGATTGTTAGTGTGTATGAGGTTTCTTTTGGGGGTGATAATGTTCTGGGAATAGGGCTGATGGTTGCACAACTGTGTGAATCTGCTAAAACCCATGAAATTCTGCCCTTTGAAAGGGTGAATTTAACCCTTTGTGTTGTGAATTATCACAACAAGTAGAGTCATAAAACTTCAGAAACTGTTGTTAATACCATATTCCTTAATGGTCAACTCACCTTTAGTGTGAAATGAAAGAATGCCCAAAGAATGGCCCAGAGGAGGAATGTATGGTGAGGAGTGATAAGGAGGGTGGGAAGTGGAGGGGGAGGGGAAGGTGACTAGTTCTTCAAGAGACCATCAAGCCTGCCACATTTTGCAAATAAAGAAACTGACTTCCAAAGAAGGGAAGTGACTTACCCAGGGTGTCACACAGGCTGTCCAGGATGGAGCAAGATTGCAACGTAGGTCCCTGAAAGCCTCACTGCATTCCTTTCTACTAGCGTTGTGTGGCCTGCTCTGCTGCTTTATATTTAAACAGGTCAGCTGTAACTAAATTAAATTATTTAAAATGAGGAAAACCTGGCTCAAGAAGCTTTTTAAACGTGTTTTGATGAAAGCATATCTTTTGCCTATAAATAGCAAAATCTCTTTGAAAGAGTAGATGAATCTGTGGTAAATTTACTAAGTCCAAACTGAGATTTACCTGGAAATGTCCCTTGAGAAAAGTGGCCACATTAACAGACCAAGGGAGCCCTCTACCTGCGTATTGGTAGCATAGATTTCATTGGCAAAAACCCTTGACCTGGAAAGCTAAAAATAAATCGAGACCAGGTATTCTAGTAGTCCTTTGTCTATTTTGATTGGCTTCCAACATGATTTTTGATAAAGTGAATGGTGACCGAGTATGTATTTGTATGAGCAATAGGATACATGGAGGATAATCTGCAGAAAGTTCCTTTTCTGTGAAAGAAAGAGGCCAATTAGCAGACTAAATAAAACAGCTAAATATATATATAAATATATATGTATCCAGTGAGAATTACATTAAAATAGTTATTTTCAAAGAACTTTGTATTCCACTGAGGATGTAAAATGTTAGTAAGCATTTTTGTTCATCTGGCATAAAAGTTTCATTGTTTCTTTGTTTCAGGAAAAGATAGGGTTGAATGTAAAAATCATGCAGGATCCTGAAAACATCCACCACAGAGCTGCTGTAAATGCGAACTATGGGATCAGTTTGCCATGTATTAATCAGAGAAAAGCTTGTGTAAGTAATGAATTGTTTTAATGAGCTCTTAATTTTTAGAGAATTAAAAGTCATTTCTTAGTGTAGTGTAAGATACGATGTTTTACACAAAGATTTCGATCCTTTGTCCTTAGAATTTTTCAGAGATGAATTAGAGTAACTTTCATTCTGTTTATAATTAGGAACATTTAAGAACAAACATGTAAACCTATCTTTTAAAGGTCTGTTTATAGCACAATCAAATTTCTCTGTTTTATTTGATGTTCCTAAATAATCCACCGCTGTAATTTTAACGAGGAAAATAACTCAACAATAAAAAGAATTAATAGAGACATTTTAAATATGTTGTTTCTTTGACAGTAGGCTTACCACTGGAAAATCTAAAAAAAGCAACAGCCTGGTATCAACTTCAATGGTGTACACTCATAAAATACACAAAAATTTAAGACTATTACTCTAAATCTGAAGCAAGCAGCAAAATGATGAGAGGAAACAATAATCAAATTGGCATGAGGGGAATCTCAGAGTCTGTGCCTAATTTTTGCCATTGACTTGCTGCTAAGGGTCCCAAAGCAAAGAATGTACTCTTTCTGTGTTGGAGGGTCTTCTCAGGAGATTTAAGAATAGTGTTTCATTTTAAGTGGGAAATTATTTTATTTGAGATCATTTCTAGTACTGAAAGCAATTACTGAGATGACATCCATACATTTTTACATACATTTTTAACCGTTGTCTTCTCACCAATGCTCTTAAAAGTATACTTTAGTGAAATCAAAATTTAAAACAATATTAATTTTAGAATTAAATTGAAAAATTATTTCTAACTAGCACAATGTGTCATCTGTTCAATCTTCCAAATTTCTTACATAGCCATGTTCAACTGCCTACTTCATTCCTGTAACCCTGAAATGAATATTTAGTTTCTTTGTGTATGCTTTATGTTATCCTAACAGGTTTTGCTTAAGAACACTTTATCTTAGAAATGCTTTTATAGTCTAAGAAATAACCAGAAAGTTAGATATTTTTATTTCTGCTGAAACTTTATTTAAAATGTCACTGTGAATAATTTCGAAGGGTTTTTATCTGCTTCCCATGAGCCCAAAGTCCTTGAAATAAAAATATTATTTCTCTGGCTGTACAGACAGAAGCAGATTTCTCTTTTGTTGTTGGTTTTCCCTTTCAATCTAGAATTAATATTGGCTTAGCTAGTGAAGTGCTGAGCTTTGTAGCCCAAGGCAACGGCTGCATTTCATGCAAACTTTTTTCTGATGAGTATTGAAGTTTAAAAAGGCTCATCTCTCAAATTAGAAAGGAGTATTCCTTGTTTTAATGAATCTGGATGGAAGATGCAGACGTAAATAGGGAATTCTAAATTATATCCAAAATTGGGAACAGGATATTAATCACTTATTGTATCTGTTTCTAATTCGCACATAGATTAAGTGCCTTGCATACTGTGCCCATGTACTTTGAACACAGAGGATTTGGGAAAGCACTTTGCTTGCATGACATGTAGATTCATGTGTATATACATGTAGATACATGTGTATTCATTTATTGTATTAAAAATCCTTTTCGTCCCATGAAACTTGCTCCATAAAAAGCAACGCCATCACACTTTAAAGTGTAGGTATACCATGTGCATTCTGCTCAAACTGACCATTGGTATTTCAATCAAACAGTTGACCCTATCATTTTATGTTGATATATAATATATGTATATGTTTTTATATGTATGTGTATGATAGTGCTAACTGAAAAACATTATTTTCAGTTTGGATTTATTAAACAGAAGCATTATGCAAAAAAAATCCTGTGAAAGAAATATTCAGATGTTTGGTTTTAAACATTCATGTAGAGCATTTGGGAATAAACACAGTTGTGATTTACCACTAATAAAAAGGTTTTTGAAAGCACTTACCCAAACTGAAGCGATGTGTCTAAGCTGTGATGTGTCGTTAATTAGAGAAGCAGCATCAAGTCTAATCGCTTTTTAGAACCACTCTAAACACTCAAAGGGGATTATTATTTGGCTGCCGAGGGCCATGTGTTTCCTTACTTCTTATGAAAGTTGAACAGCTTGTCAAAAGCCTGTAAATAATCTTAGACATTTTTGACAGAGCAAATTTGAATATGTAGCTAATTTACATTATTAGTTTTTGAAAATTGGGATTTTCTCCATTTTATTGAGATGTGTTCTTCCTAATAACAAGGGTCTTATGCAAAGATTTTATTGCATCAAAAACACATATGCCCCACATACACCTACCCCCTCACAAAACTGCCCTGAGAGTTTTACATCCTGTAATCCTGTTATGTAAAATCAATTTATAAAATAGTATTAAAAGTGAAACTGATGAATATTGCAAGATCTTAAATCTGCAACAAACAAGTAAACAACCCCCCAACCAATATGTTCTTGAGTAGAATCTTATAGAGAATGGGGGGACAAGGAGAAATCTCTGGCAACATTCATATTAACTTACTGACATTTAGTTCCAGTTAGACTTTCTATGCAGCACTTTCAAAGCTCTACAGAAAATTTGACTTTGATTTATTTTTTTTAAATAAAAAGGGTTTCTTAAAAGGCCTGAAACATGTATCTGTTAACATGAATTTTAAAAGAACGATTATGAATGCATAACAAAATAGCCAAACAAAACATTGCTTTGAATTGCTACACAAATAACTCTGATTATAACTATTATGACCTAGAAAAGAATCATAAAAACATTTTTCTTTTTGGCAAGATATGAGTTGCTGTAGAATTATACCAGTTCTTTGGTCCCACTTTCCAAATAAATAAATAAATATATAATGCAATGTAAACTTAGAATCTTTTATTTATTCATGAGGTTGGATTTAATACTATTATGATTTCTAGATTTTATGAGTCATATGTTATGCAGTGTTTTTCACTAACTTAGTTGGGTAGCAACCACACTTCACAAATCATAGTTTCATTCTTTACTGTTTCACTTGGGGTGTACATGGTAATCTCTCCCACTGAAAGCACATTCATTTTTGAAATGATAAAGTAATGGAAAGTGAGGCAATTGTGTTAATGTCAAATGATTAGAAGAAGCTCCAGAAGTAAGGGGTGGAGGTAGGGAGGGGGGAGAAAAAGAAGGACGATCTCAAAACATGATTGTGTTTTAAGCCCATGCATATGGCCACAATTACAGTCACAACATAATTTGGCAACGGTAGCAGAATTAGATTTAAACAAATTGATGTTACACTGCAGTAATTCAGAATGAGCTTGTTGCATTTATAAACCATAACAAGAAGCAGAGTGAATTAATAAACCCTTCTTGTCACTAAAAATAAAAAAGGGAATAATTGCTGAGATAGAGTTAACTTAACAGATGACTATAGTCAGCATCCTTTCAGCCTAGATATGGGAAAGTGAAGGTCACCCTCATCTCAGATGACAAAGAGGGAACATTTTGTTGGTAAACAAATTAATCTTTTGAAAGGTCGCCATTTGTTTTAAGCTTTTATCCAGTTCTTGTCATCTGGAATCAGAGATTGACTGTCATTTCACCAGGCAGGGGTGCCGGGGAAGCAGACAAAGCTGCTTCTGTACATATCAGCATTCCTTGACAAAACTCGGTGCCTGATTGTGATGCTATGGGCTGCTGGTTTACAGCTGTCTCCGGACAAGAATGGAGGCCCACCCCTGAATTCCAATAAGATGGGCCTGCATATTCTGCCTGCTGTAAGCTGGCCCTCTGCCCACAAGTAAAATGTATCGTAGTTCAAGCCAGCAATTATCTCTTTTACTTCCTTCTGTGCTGCTTCTGTTCCCTTTTTCCAAAAACAGATGTGGGTATTCACTCAAGTTCTGCATCCATTCTTTCTCACACCTGCCAGGGCAGAATTTTGACAGAGGTAGAGTTGGAGGGAGCCAGCAGACAACAATCAGATGTAATTTCTTTGAGAGCAGTTTAAAAAGAAAATGTTGATTTTTCAGGAAATGTGGAGTCAGCATCTTGGTCCCCCTCCTTTTCCCAGGAGCATTGGTAAATTAAATTAGTTGAACAAAAGGAAATAGCTGTAAAGACATTCTGAAACGCCACATCCTATTTATGACACGCAGTCATTAGCCAAGGACTGCGATGGCGAGTCTCATCCCCACTCCTGTCACTAAAGAGACTTTCTCTTCAGGTTGTTCCAAAGAGCTTTCAAGAAAACAATCACTTTTCATGTTCTGCCTGATACATTGCCTATAAAATATAGCCCACCAATATGGTAGTGGTGGTGGTGGCAGAGCGGTGGTCCACTGCCTTGGTATGTTGTTGCTATTTAGAATTCCAGCTCTGTGTTGGTTTGCAGTACAGAGAGAGCTAAAGAAGTGATGTGACCATGGTCACTGTTAGTATCTGGCTGTCTCCTCTGGGAGTGGGTAGGAGTGATGAGTGGCTACATGGCATCATAAAAAACCTAGCTGTAGTGAGTTCTCTAACTTCCTTAGGAAGCAGTTACTTGAGTTTCTGTGCTAACATCCTGTATGCATTCCCAAGCCAACCCTACGCTGCACTTCAAGCAACTTTCAGCTCTCAGCATGAGGATACTGGGTCAGACTGCCTGGTGTGAATTCTTACTAGATGAGGGGCCTCCAAGAAACAGCCTCCAATTCCTCATGTGTAAAATGTCCATAATAAGATTATTTCATGGGATTGTATTGAGATTTACATGAGATAATCCAAAGCACTTGGCAAAGGTCCTGAATACAAAGAAGCGCTCTGAAAATTTTAGCTATGATTATCGGCCATTTTTGATATGTTGTATTGTGCCATGTTTTAACTGTCACCTAAAACTTAAGTTATCACAGATGTCAGAAGAGAGCGCCAGATTATTACTTAGGTCCCTTTCAGGGATTCTATTTAATATTTCATATGATTATATCTTCTTTCTCACACAGATATGAGGATAAGGACCTTGCCTGTTTTTCAAATCTTCCACTGCACCAAGCAATACTTTTCACGTGATAGGTACCCAGGAGACAACTGATTTGT